AAAAGTACCTCGATTGCACTCCTTTCGAGGCCTTGGTTGTCTTCTCCAAGGTGTTCGACCTTGTCAAGGTCTCCACAAGGGGGCGAGGGCATCCGACATTTTGGGGAAGGGGCGTCGACCTCCACCTGTGAAGCTCATTCGACCCCGTCGCCCCATCGCAGGATTTCCGACGACCAAGACCAGCACGTCGCGCAGCTGTTGAAAGTAAGGTTGAACATCACGGCGGCGGAGTTTGGTCATCTGACGGCTGCTCTGCAGGAGACGGGTAGCCCGGACTCACATAACATCCAACATGTCTGCTGGCCGAAGCAGCAGGAGGTGGCCCAGCGATTGTTCGACAAAACAAATGAAGTGCTGGGCAGTCGGTGCATCTCCGAGTTCAAAGGAGTCGAGTTTATGGTGCTGACGCCTGCGTTCCAGACACTGCAGCAGCAGACAATCAACAGGCTGGCGAAATGTGGAGTGTTGCCACAAGGCAAGGTGGCGTCGGAGTGCGTCATCATGTACATTAAGAGCGCAAAGCACGATCAACTCTTCGAACGCTTCAAGTCCAGAGTCCGCGACAATAAGGACATTCTTTTCGTCCTTGTTGCCGATGAATGTCACTATGGCTGCACGGATGGCGGCGCGCACGACAAGTACGTTAACGACGAAGATCTTCACCGCCACGCAAACCTCGTGCTGCTGGGTGTCAGGTACGAAGCGTGCGGGGTGCTGTGGTGGTTGGACTTGAGATACAGCGAGGGAACGACTGGTCGTGATCATCGCATTTGTGCTCGAAATTTGACGGAAGACCCGAACTCGAGCAAGTCACGAGCTGATCCAGCCAGATGGACCAACAGTTTCTGAACACGCTCATAAGCAGCTGAATCATTGCACTCGAGCCTGCAAGGACAAAATAAACTAATTGACACCAAAACGTATGATATTAGTATTGGTGATACCCAGAAATTGTGGTGTGGGACGGAGGTGTTTCGGATTTACCATTTTCCTTCGACTTCAAGCATTTTAATGAGGCCGGACGGTATTCCGCGCCCCCCTCCCACACCACGCCACACGTTTGGTGGATCAGCACAAACGACAAAATCGTCAGGTGTCAATTGGTTTTGTGTTGTCCTCGCGGAGAAGATTTCGAGGTCACCCACACTTTCGGCAGTTTTCATTTAAGGCGCATGGACTGCCCATTAGCCGGCAATGGGCAGCCCATGAGCACCCTGTGGGCAATAGGCCCGCCATGGGCCGGCCATGGGCGGCCCATTTGGCCCACCGGAAGCTCATTGGCCGCCCATGGGCAGCCCAGCAAAATGGGCTGCTCATGGGCCGCCTGTGGGAATGCCCATGAGGGGGGGCATGAGCCGCCATGGTGAGCGTATTTTTCACCGATTTTTGCCCACGATGGGCGGTCCATGGACCTGAGTAAGGTTCTAGGTAACTGCGGCCTTGGTAAGGTTCTAGATCGCTGAGCAGGGGCAGGGCTACGCCGCGGCTAACTTTTTCAACCCTAACACTAACCCTAACACCAATCCCCATCAACCATGCCCGACCACCTGATGGGCCTTGGTAAGGTTTTTAGGTCGTTGCGGCCTTGGTATATTGTTACGTAGGAAGCCGTGCAGGGACTGGGTTGATGAAGTGTTCTAGGTCGTTGCGGGCCCGCCATAACTGCCCAGCAGCAGCCCAGCGGCAGCCCATGGGCTGCCCATGAGCTGCCGATGAACTGCCCCTGGTCCTCCCATGGGCACTCCGTGGGCCCTCAATACGCTGCCCATGGGCCGAATACATAAACTTCCAGTAGTGGGACATTGAAATGCCGCCGTGTAGAAAAAATGTGTGTTAACCAAGAGCACGACTTTGCATAGGAACCTGGTGTGCAACAATGCACCTAACGTTTGACCAACGATGAGTTACGTGTAATACGAAGAATTGAATGATTCGCGCCATTAGCAACGCGTACCCACGTCGCCAAAGGAAAACATACTGGCGTCCGATTCTTACGTATGTGGGTCGTGTGGAGAAGTAAACGATTTGGACGGCCCCAATGGGCCTTCTCAACAATCGTACAGTCTGATCCTGAAAGTTCGACACCAAAGCGCTGGTCGGTTGTCTCGAATCAAGTGGATACTCTAGGTTTGGTTGGCGATACGTTTGGACAGAGGACAATGTGGCAGCGTCTGTCGGGATATTTGCCTGGATCAACCTGTATAGCGACTACTGGCACCAACTTGTCGGAGTAAATTGTCGGAGGGCAAGGAACCAACTACTAACGGAAAAAATCATGCGTTCATGTTCAAAGCACAAGGGATGCGCGAAAGTTTGGAATCGGGCAAGGCCGAACTCATGGGCTGGATGTTGAGATGTGGAGAAGTTGAGAAGTCAAATACCTATCTGTGGTGTTCAACGTCAATAGCTACAGCGTTGTTAGAAACGACCAAATGTTCCACAGGGCCTCTCACGTTTCGATTATTTTGGGACTTCTCGAGTTTGGGTCAACAATCGCGCAGTTCGCCTATGTTACGTAAGTTTGCTATTCCGCGCGTGCGTGGGTTCCGCGGAGGACTGTATTTCAGGAGTTTTGTATTCAGGAAGTGGTAGGCAGGCAAAATGATGTAACAGGTTCTGTTCTCGTAGCCCCACGTACCGGTCATCTACTCATTTGTTGACTTTTGCGGGGGCCACTAACGCCACCACCGTTGGCATTCATTTTGATTTGGCATGCCGACGCCGCTTGGACAAACGTCCCAACAACCATCGAGTGTTCAAAGGGTGCCGTTAAGAAATATTTGGCCGAGGAACCACGCATTGCACAGGGCGCGCGTTTTGAACTTCGACTTTATTGTTTTAGTTGAACCCCTTCCGTGCGATGCCCTCGTCATCATGTGGGCCCACGCTACCAGCGCGACTCCATACAACTGCCTGACCGACAAGAGCCGAGTACACGAGTCGAATGTCATCGAATGGTTTGAAGAAAATCATCCGCGCGAGGACGGAATCTATAGAAGGTGATGGCCCAACGCTGAGCAAAGGCTGCTGGGTAGATGAGACAAAAGAGCACCGCGATGTGTTTGTGTTCCCAGAATGTTGGTTAATCAATGTCGTCGCTTGTATTGGAGCTCCACAATGCAAATATCTGCCGCGTGCGGTGCGGCGTAGGGTTTGTTTCGTGCGTATGTGTAGCATGGACGCACGACCACCACGATGACATCACCTGGGCGAAATCCGGTTTGCCTGCTATCCGTTGCTGATGTTTCTCTCAGGAAAGTGCCGTAATTACCGTATGGTATGCTCGACTCTTGAAACGATGCCGGCCGTGTTCCAGCGTTGTCGTTGCGACTGCGTCCCTCTCTTCATCAGTATATAAGAGCAAATGCAGAAACGACAAAGAAGGGTGCCCACAACCTGTGTAGGCGAATCGCATTCATCAATGGGAGGAACTGCACCTCTGTCACTTGTTATTAACGCACCTTCTACCCACTTTCCCTTTTGCCGACACGATTTCCCCCAGCATGGAGTTTTACCTCGGGACCATACCTTTCAGACCCGACCCTAGCGCGTGCACACTGCATGTGCAAGTTGTGCCTAAAACCGGGCAAGGCAGTTCCTTTCGCGTGGATATCAAGGACAAGGCTTTTACAGCTCCCAACGAAGTCGCGGAAGCGCTCTCTGCTGAGATAGCAGTTAAACTCAGAGAATGCGATGCGAATGCTAGCATGGAGATCAGCTACTGCAAGAGAGGGAAACGATTTTTGGTCAAGAACAAGAGCAGGCTATTCACCGTACGGCTCGAGACAAACGAGGCAAGCATTTTGGCGAAGCTAGGGTTCACCACCAACCTGCCGCTAGAGCTTGGTCCCGACAGCGAAATACGCGCCGATAGTGACTGGGAAATTGGCAACCACGACCAACCTGGCGGGCGTTCACTGGAGGATCAACGCATCAGGGATGACCCGGGATTTACGGAATTGCGGGCGCGATTCAATAGGCAATTTGGACCCCGGGGGGGCAAGCAGCGTCGGGGGAAGAACATAAGTACGCCGACAGAAAACGACCGGCAGCCGTCCGTGGCCCTGCATGACGGCCATCTCCTTTTGGCGGAGTACCTGTTCTCCCTCGTATGTCTATCGATGTTCCGACAGGAAGGCCTAACCATGCGGATGAGGAGCCCGGGCATCGGTTCTGAGACCGACAACTTCCTCGACGAACTTGTGACCGAAGACTGCCTCGACAGCTTCGACACAAGACTGGGCAGAGTCTGCAGATTCAATGTTGGCACCAAGGGAGACCCCTGTTTCTGTGACATCCACTCCGTCGTGGACTTCGTTAAGCAGGCGAGAAGGAGCTACGAATGATTGACATTGACACCAATGCTTTCCGATCCTGGTTAGTGGGATGCGCGACCATAGTCGGAATACAGCATCAAGACTAGAATACGCTACCACTCGCTGAAACACCGCCTTCGAGACAGCGTTTGGCCACTTGTTGCAATATCAATCGAACACTGTGTCGGTAGAAACGAGGTCTACTCACTTCCACTTGTAAACGATAAATGAGGACTGTGTATACATGCCTTGGGAGCTAAAAAACATGTTTTTTTTTGGTCTGAGCTCGGACACACGCCGTTTTCCGCCGCACATCACTTGTGCATTTGCAGGCGTACGTATCAGCAGCTCGGGAAGAGCTCAAAGACAACCCACACGATGACCGATCGTGTCTACGATACATCTTGAGGGAGAAACTCAAAGCCAGCGCTGTCGCGGAGAACACTAGCGCCGAATATTCCTGGTTCAACGAGACAGATCGAGTACTTCGAGACCTCTTGAGGGGAGATTCTGACAGAGGTCACGGTCGTATGGTTGTAATGCGTGTCTACGAAAGGGAGGAACAACTCAGTATGCAGCATTGTCTGCGCCAAGCGAGGCGAGAGCTCCTTCTACATGATGGGCCGACAGAGCGCCCGTTGTTTTCGGTAGTATGCGACAACGGAGACACAAACCTGTCACAGGACATCGAGGAGTACTTCCGGGATAGCTTCAACGTCCAGGATGATGCAGGGGGGGTTTCAACCCTCGGTAACAGGATGGTGGAGCTGCGAAAACTACCAGGGTCGCGCAACACATCGCTCTCGTACGAAGATCTGCTGAATGTGCCGATGATACTCATACTGTGCGAAAAAGGGCGGATGGGCGATACGTTCCCTCACTCGCTTGGTTGCTTCGACCTGCGTCTTCGGGTAGCCGGGTACTTCTCATCATTCGAGCAGGAGCTGGGTCGCCTTTGCCGATATCCCGCATTTCGCAAAATCAATGGTGGTTCGGGTCCCTCCCGCGAAGACGCGATGTCACTTGGCTGTGAGGTGAGTCGCTTCTATGATTCGGAGGGCGTGCCGAATGGCAAGGGGCGCATTCCATCAATAGTTCCCGGAAATATGACACGAGGTAAATTGTACACCAATGCATATTTTTGGTGCTTTTCCATCACAAATCGAGTGTAGTAGAAGTTTTACTTTATGATTACGTAGGAAAACATCACCAGCATGAAGACCTTTTGGCCCCTGACCGCTGAAATGAAATACTCAGGTCCTCGATCGCAAGCGCTTGGTCAAGGTATCAACACCTGCTGGCATATTGTCCGTGGCTGATACCTGGTGGCTGCTGGAAAGTATCATTGCCTCGATTGGCGCGGACGACGTTATAACTCTGGAGGAGAGCGTGTTCCCGCTTCCCACAGCTTTAGTCCCCAGTCACACGATGGGAAAGCTTCTCAAGGCTGTTGAGGAACACAGGCTGACGAACACGCCAATCTCGAAGTGCATCCGGATGGCCAAGATGGATTTGCACATGATCGGTTCCACGAACGTAAGCGTTGCACACGGTTTTCTTGTTGTACGCCGAAGAAAATCAAAGGAAGCCTTCCATTTTCCCTCACGATTCGGTTACGAAAGAGTCGCTCTTCAAACTGCGGCAATTGTTGTGTGCTGCCTGTCTACGCCGTCGTCTTTCCCCCGTGTCTTTATGATGTATTGGGAGATGCATGCTTTCCAATGTGAAAATGATGCATTTCTTTTCCAAGCGTACTGGCTTGAATTGTGCTAGTTGTATTCCCCCTAACGCCCACTACGCTCGCCTCAATCGGTGTGACCCGAGTTCGGCACTACTATCGTCTACCACGGCATTACTATTTCAAAAAAAAAGCTTACCACACCGATCGCTTTTCGCCGCCCACTGCGACATTGTTCGTGCAGATAAAGAAAAAGCCGAACACTGAAACGGAGAACGCGCTCCACAACTACTCTGCGTATCGCCCGGCCGAGAAACACTTCGACCACCGCAGGGGTCTGTCCGAGCGCAAAGATCCACGGCGTCTGATCCTGTCAGCAGAGTGCCAAATCGGCAAGACCGGAGTCTACCTCGACTACCTCTCCAAGCTTACCAACGCGACTACTGCGAGCTGTTCGGAAATAGTTCCTTGTCCCCCGCCGGTCGAAGATGGGTGGCCCAGAGAGGAGCTCAGCTGGCTCCTTCCGCACTGGCGGACTCTAATCGGCATCGCACCCATGAGCAACGAGTACAGCACACTCCTCGCTAGCAAATACACGGAGGGAATCGTGAGGGAGCGCATACATCTCGTGAGGCAAAGCTGCTGCGAGGGCAACAGGTGGCGGGATGAGTACGCGGCTCTACTCGTCGATTCGTGTGGCGAGCATGTGCGGTCTGTGATAGGTAATCAATACATTGAGGCCCTCCGGCAGCGCGAGCTTGTGCCCCCGTTCAATACGGAAGGAGACCCTACGCCGGCACCTGCCTGTTTTGAGTCCCTGAAAGAGGCCATAAATTGGGACGGCAGATTCGAGCCTGGCCTCGGTGTCCAGTTCTGCGCGTGCGAAAGTCAATGCACGTGCGCCATGGCTGGCGACGCCTACGGGAAGGGACTTACGCTACAATTGGCGGACCTTACACGAGCGGGAGGCGAACATGGACGCGTAGATGAGCGCTGGAATATGCCTCAGGATGGCGATGAAGGCGAGAAGAGTCGTAGGCTACGGAACGTGACAAAAAACCCGTGTAGGTAAATAAAGAAAGGAAGCGCGTTCAGGTTTCAACCTAATCTTGTCACACAAAACCCTTGTCAATCGCCTGAGAGCAGCTACCACATGGGCTGGGACTTCGATTTTAACAAGCTCCCGTACCCTGCTGTGATTTTAATTCGCCCCGTTTATTGCAGGGCCTGCAGCCAAGGACGCACATGTGCGTAAATTCGCGGCGAAGCAGCCGCCGTGCAACTGGGCCAATGGAGAAGCACAGGGCAACTTGAGCACCTGCACCTTCCGGCACCCTCGAGAACCGGAAAGTGGCCATACGTTCAGCCTACACGTGTCTATCCCCACTGAAGAGATTGGCGTCATTTTTTTTAATCCTAAAAAAACTGCGTCAAGGTGGATATTTACCCCGTCGTACAACCGGGCCGCTTCCGGTCCACGACAGGCGGTCCTGGATCGATCAGTCGCCCTGCAGCAAGGGTGTGACCCGCCTGACGTGGGAACCAGGTGAGAACATACGAGACGACTTATTCTGCTCAAAAGCACGGAATCCCGTAGACACATGCATACTCTTGTGCTGCAGTGCAGCCTCTTGCCCCCAAGATCGGACGCATCGGTAAAGAAGTGCATGTGATGGATATCGGCTTTTTCGGTTCCGGTCCAATGATTTCATGTTTTTGTTGCTCCCTAGGGGTTCCCTGACCGCTTGTTCACAACAGCCAGCGTGTCCTAGCCGAGAACTCGAGGTGGTGGATACCGCGCTGATATCGAAGCACGGACGAACGTAGAACAGGATTTGTCTACCGTAACAGCAAAATGAGGTCGTCGGTGGACTGCCGCGCAAAAGGATGGAGAATTAATCTGGTCGATTGATTGATTGAGTGTCACACATCAACTCATGATCCACCCAAACTGTGAAAAAGCACACTTGTATGAATTCATCCGTGGTCACAAGATCGATGGCACACCCTAAGAAATATGTGGGGGCACTTACCAACGGTTATAGTGCATGTGGCTAAAACCAACGAAATGGGGAGGAGAAAAAAAACTGTTCTAGGAGGTGCGGTAATGGCCCTGTGTCGAATCGCGGAATTCCCGCCATAGCTGTATCAAGGGAGGGAGACAGATGCGCCAGCAAACGAAAAGCATGAACACGGAGTTCCTAAATAAAAGGCGAAATGCAATTGGTTGAGGATGAATATTGACCGGGTTGTGTGGATGGATTGATGGGGGCCTCATTTTTGTAAGCGATGCATAACTAATGAGAATATACTGAGCGATTGGCAGGTCGGTTTCGCTCCAGATTGAAAGTGAATGCCCCGGCCCTCCCGGCCGCCGGGGTTCGTCGCCTATCGTCTCAAGTAAAGGCGCGCAACACATGACTACAAACCGCGAACCCCTTGGCGTTTCCTCATGCAGGTTCCACATCAACGTCCTGGTGGTTCGCTGGGAGCAGTTCGCCCTCTACAGGTACGCTCTCATGCATGGGCCGTGCAACCATGTTAAACGTTGGTCTACGATATACATGTAGTAGTCCAGACATCATCGGGATGATTTCACAGTTTTGCCCTGACCTCTTCAAATCGTCACTGTTGACGAGGCCATATTTGTAAGCCTTGTTGCTGTGGGTAGCCCCCGCTGACCCGAAACTCGTGTGTATAATTCGGTTTGAGCGTGTTTATGGTTGTCGTGAATTAACACCTCTAGATTAAATATCATACGCACGCATTCTAGATCCCGCGCATATTTGCTCACAACCTCACGCAGCCTCGAAGAATCAGAGCAAATACATGTAGCTCGGCGAGAACATCGGGGCGCGACTCGTTTGACGACGATTCTGGTTGTTGGTGTGCCGTGTTACATCTCTATGGCACGGCCGACTAAGCTCAATCTGAAAAGAGCTGTTTTTTGCCCAAGGTCATACATGAAATTTGGTCGTGTATTCCCCTCGGCAGAAAGTCGTTGTAATTTTCGATGCAGATTGTTTCTGCCAAGTTATTGCGCAGTAAAACCCTAATTCGTGGTATCATCAAAAAGCTGGAAGCCATCACACGCCGTCCGCCTTGCAATGATAGATTGCGGTATTTTCGCGGGTTCAAATCTTGCCGTGTTTTTTTGTTTTTGCGAAATCGCACACTCGTTCTGTTCCACGAGGAACCAATGTAAGTCAGCTTGGACAGCTGCCGTTGAAGGGGGGCGGTCCTCGGCCTATACAATAGTAGAAAAATATTGCGTCAGCAAATTGCGGTATCGGCGTTCGCTCCTAACTTGTTCTCGCCTCTATGTTGGCGAGTGTACCACGAATCAGAACAGCTCACGTGTGGCTGTGTGTATTTGTGCGAACAGGCGACACTTTGGCCATCAGTACGTGGTCCTGGCAATGCCGGGTCGGATGCCTTGCTTCGAAAGTGAAGGTGGATACTGTTCTGCTGAGGAGGGCGGGATTGGATACGCCCGGCACTTCATACAGCAGTGGTCTTCCACCAGAGACATACCCTTCGTCTGGATGCTGGACGACAACGTCCAAATGTGCCATGAGCTTGACGTTGATACGGGGGAGTACAACCCGTGCGGATTCACCCACGTCATGGATTCCCTGGAACGAATCTTGATGCTCCCTGACAGTACGAACATCGTTGTGAATACCGCGCAGCAGTCAGTCTCCAAACACGCCGCCAGCCGCACGACCTGCCCTCCCGACCTCGAATCCCTCCGTGGGCAGACGGTTCCTGGCAGGACGATGCATCTCACCACAGTAGCAGGTTTCTGCGGCAAACCAGACCACTACGGAGTGCTAGGAATCTCAAGGCACGGGCTAGGCGGCGAAAACACCAAGCCCACCACAACACCGTTCGGCGTGAACCACAGCGTCTATTCCTTCTGTCTACTCAACGTGCGAAGTACCGTCAAACAGCGGGCCTACTACCCCATGAAAAGATACTGGGAGGACGTCGAATTCAACCACATCGTCGACGAGAAGGGTCTGGTGGTGTGCATGTTCCGGAAGTTTTCTCACTCCAAGAAGAACCTTCAGCCGCCCCACCTGCAAGGACCGCTATTGTGCCCACCCTTTGCGTTCGAGCATGGCGATATCGGCCTGGATGTCCTAGAGGAAACTTACGAAAAAGTCCGGAGGGGTTCGACCATGGTGATTCCGACGGACTACTTGAACTCGCTGCTGAAATACCTCTCGTGCCATGTGCTAGGGTCGATTTACGCCGAGGCTATCGCATACCCAAGCGACAGGCGTCGGGTTATCCTGGTGGATACGCCTTTCGAAGTCTTGCCTACCGTGCCAGAGCAGGGGAGCCCCAGGATCGAGCTCCAGACTGTTCCCAATTCTCAAGTTTTCCTCATCATGCTGCTGGGAGGGGTGAAAAATCAGAGCTTGGGTCTCCTGAAACACGTCCTCACGGACAAGGTGAGTGTACCCCCCCGGGCCCCGATTGAGCATGATGTACCACTGCCGTCTCTATGATGTACGGTATGCAAAGCCTTGATCTGCACTCTCCTTGTTGGTGACCGCGAGTTCCTATTGCACTGTCTCCCAGCTTGTCAAGCAGCAGCTCAAGGAGGTCGTGGTCGTGACTCGCCTGCCCCAACGCGATGGCAGCACTGGGAATCACATCGGCGAATGGCTGCAAGAGTTTAACGACCCGGAATCGGTCGTCGAGGTGAGAAGCTGCAACCAACCGTCGACTTTCCTTGGCAGCACACTATTGTGTATGGAATAATCGAGGATTTAGCCACGTGCATGTCACCGCCAAAAAATGTTGGTGACGAATGCATACCCGCGGAATATCTTGCCCAGGTCGGGTCCAAGATTGTAAAACCAAAAGGGGGACGTCTCGGGCACGGATTGCTCGTTCTGTCGTTCTCGTCGACATCAGAACACCGGCGCGAAGACGAGGTGGGTAACTACCTGGTTGTGAGGCGTGCGGGGCGTTGTCTGCAATCTCGCACCTAATTTTGCTTGCATGAAACGAGTGCGTGAAAACAGGCGGAAACACGGACGACCTCTGGGCGTCATGACAGTCGGCACACGATGTGTTTGTATATATGTGGTTTTATGTCCACAACAGACCAGACAGAGGTCGGTATACATTCACGCGCACGTTTTTACAGTCGGGCGTGAGGGCTTCTGGCTGAACAAATAAGGAGTGACTCTGTCACACAGTTCGGTGTGGTGTAGTTTTTGCCGACCTCCACTCACCAGGCGACGAAAGTACGGTTAATGATTGTGGTCTGACGACCCTCAGCATGCCGTGCACCGATTTGCTACGCCAGAACAAACTCATGGCCATCCGAGATTCGCCGCCAGACGAAGACGAGGACACGGACACGGATGAGCCTCCGCCGGTGAGCATGCCTGTCCATGACAAATAATATTCTGGACGTTGGCTTTTCCCCTGAATCGTTCTATGTAGCAAACTTATGCCCTATCCGTGCGTCCCACACCCTCCCCTCAGCCTGGCTCGAATGAAGTACAATCGCAACCGCCACCGCGAAAGAGGGCAAAGAAGGATGCCCCAAGAGCTGCAATGTCTGCTGTCGTTCACTTTTCGCAAGCCAAGTTCGCAGAGGTGAGCCATGTGGGGAAAACGAGGTGTCGTCGCATTGTCGAGCCTATGACTTTCAGCGGGGGGGCAGTACGCACGTCTTCTAACCCAAGCAAAGCCAAGGATTGTGACAAACCTTTATTTCGCCACAATACAACCAACATGTGGAGACCACGACCTTCTTAGTACCGCCGTGAGGGGGGAAATATTCTAAAATACGCTGTCTTGTTATTTCACAAATCAGAATGGTACATCACGCGACTATTTTCTTCCACCGTTTTCCCTTGCATTGGACACACGAAACAGCATTCCCAAATGCTTTCCCAAACTTGAACCATCAACCACCAGACCAAGGCCGAAAACCTCGACATGGAGGACACGGAGATCGGAATCGTGCTGGGCGAGAAATGGAGAGGGGTCGATGAGAACATCAAAGCTCAGTTCCAGCGTATAGCAGACGATGATTTGAAACGGTACGTGACCCACATCATCAGTAAAAAACCGAAATTAATTCGTAGGCAGACTTTTGCAAACTTTTGGAGTTCATGCAGTGATTCATGGGTAGTGCTCCGCCACGCGGACCAGAAAATGATGTACGATCGGGAGAAGGGCGCTTGCTGTGGCACATCGACACGCCTTTCTGTAGTTTTCTCTGAACACCAAACGCACGGTATGTGTTGTCATGGCACGAAGGTTTGTTTGTCAAGATGTGAAATAGTGCGTGGGTGGTCGGAAAGTAGGGCTGTGTAGCCTGGTTTCGGATAAATATGGCCGGCGTCGGCGACAAGAACCGAAGTTCGTGATGATCACTAAGTGCTTACTGAGACAGGGTGGTGCTCTTCCCGGTTTCCTCATTTTTCTCCCCACTTAATTTCTTTTTCGTGTTGTCTATGTGTATGCATGTACATGCGTGTACGGATTTGTTTTTGTGCGTCGCATCCAGGTACGAGAAGGAATTGATCGATTACATGGCCATCAACAAGGCTGCCAACGCCCGCGATAAGGGATGAAGGGACGCGGAGGCCAAAAGGAAGAATGCCTCTTTAATCGGCTGCGTAGTGGCGATCCGACGGTCGCCCGACATGCCAAGTGTTTGTCCCGAAGTTCGGAGTACCTTAACATCTCTTGATTTCCCCCCGGGGGTGGGATCTGTTTTTTCATTGAAACTGTACCACCCCGGGTGTAAATAAAGAGGGGACCATCTTACTATTTTTTTTAACACGGGTACCCTGGGAACATCTACCCCGAGGGGAACCACAAACACACACACACATACATAGCTCTTCACGATGGGCAAGTTCTACGAGCAAGTATTCAGGAGGAACAGGAAGGAAGACAGCACGCAGGGGTGTTTGCCCACTCCCGGTGAAGCTGGTGGTGCTGACCCCCTCCCCGAAAGTAAAATAAAATGGCCCGCCTCCCAGAGAGTACCCGCAAGTACCTTTCACGCTGCGGCGGATGGCTGGCCGCACTGGGCGCCACTCGTATGAGAACCACCAAAAGCCAGAAGTGTTGCGTTATAGCCGGCTTGTATGCAAAGGCGGGGGCGTAGTCGGCAAGCGCGGGGCGGCAAAGAAAGGTGTTCGGCATCGACATGAAGCTTGTCAGCGTCTGGGAGGACCAGGAGAAAGAGCTGCTCACCAAGTTTTCAGAGCCGCACTCGTTGCCGACCACAGGTTTAATGTGCTGGATGCGTTGTGATGCTTAAATAATCGCGAAAATGGCGATTGAAAAGAACGGGGGGATTTCACCTAAAATTGTCCACACCGTGGGGAAATCAAGAAAGGGGGGGGGGGTCTATTTTTGTTGTTGAAATCAAGATCTGCCTAAATTTGGGGCGGGGTCATTAGGGGCGAATAACAGACTTTTTCGGTCTTCACGTCAGCCGTTGTATTGTCGGCATACAGCAGCCCTCCTCTAACGTACAGATGGTTGTTGGTGTGACCCGTGACCACGTCCTCTCTCTTTGCCTTTTTCAACACTCGCGTGTCCGACAACATGTGTCCCCGTCCGTTTCGCTACCGTCGTATGAGAGAGAGAGAAAAGGTCCCCGCAGTTTTGTGATTGGCCAATTTTTTTGAAAGGAAATTTCCTGTGAACGAAAATTCCATGGTCGACCGATGACGTCAGCCACGGTTGTGAGGTCGCCTTTTCGGGGAAACTCGAAAAATTCAAATTCCCCGTGATTGAGTGATGATTACTTGATGACGCCAGACTTTCACGGGAATCGCCGGCCACACTTTCTTGTGCCCTGGAGGAACGCATTTCCTACCGGCTGCTCCGATCCACTCTAGGCTGGGTGGTGTTGAACCCACCATCCTCGCCCCTTTTCTTGTGTATTTTTTTGTCGCACCCACACGACGGACGGACGGTCTTTGAAAAAAAAGAGGAGAGCTGCGACAAATCTTGACGGGAAACAATCGTCGCCAGGAAACAACCACACGCTCACAACTGCATCGTGCCCTCACAGGAAAAGAGACATTTTCTACAATACAATCGCGCCTTCACCACACGGAGTAATCGAGAGACAGATATATATATTATTGTCATCAGTCAACGGTGTCATCAGTCAACGGTGCCACCACCGTGGTTGACGCTTCGTGTAAAAAAAGAGAAAAATTATGTTGGCTCATTTCACAGAGAGGATGGCACGGGCAACCACGGCAGCTGTATCATCACCACATGCCACAGAGAGAGAGAAAAGGTCCCCGCAGTGAGAGAGAGAAAAGGTCCCCGCAGTTTTGTGATTGGCCAATTTTTTTGAAAGGAAATTTCCTGTGAACGAAAATTCCATGGTCGACCGATGACGTCAGCCACGGTTGTGAGGTCGCCTTTTCGGGGAAACTCGAAAAATTCAAATTCCCCGTGATTGAGTGATGATTACTTGATGACGCCAGACTTTCACGGGAATCGCCGGCCACACTTTCTTGTGCCCTGGAGGAACGCATTTCCTACCGGCTGCTCCGATCCACTCTAGGCTGGGTGGTGTTGAACCCACCATCCTCGCCCCTTTTCTTGTGATTTTTTTTTGTCGCACCCACACGACGGACGGACGGTCTTTGAAAAAAAAGAGGAGAGCTGCGACAAATCTTGACGGGAAACAATCGTCGCCAGGAAACAACCACACGCTCACAACTGCATCGTGCCCTCACAGGAAAAGAGACATTTTCTACAATACAATCGCGTCTTCACCACACGGAGTAATCGAGAGACAGATATATATATTATTGTCATCAGTCAACGGTGGCAGCCGAAGATGTTTGGGGAACACTACGAGTTGCTTAGCCTCGGATTTGACAGCAGAACGAGAAATCTCGACGACATCGTTGACGTTGACTTGCTCGCCGGTGCCAGCCAGCTCGAGAGCCCCATAGTGCCGCTGCCTCCCTATGGGAGATGCTGGTGCTCGGTCGTTCTTGGGAGTCGAGACTGAGGAGCCAACCCATCTGGTCAAAATCGCCATAGCCTCAATAGACCGGAGAGTCTGGAGCCACCACCCACGCCTTCGTAGAAACGCGCGGCAGGCCGCTCTCCTCCGTGAACAAGCGTGGTGGTGAAGCCCGCTGTCGCAGAAGGTTCGAGGATGGTGCAGCAGGATGCGTCTGCTGCTGCTGTGTACCACCGTGGTTGACGCTTCGTGTAAAAAAAGAGAAAAATTATGTTGGCTCATTTCAAAGAGAGGATGGCACGGGCAACCACGGCAGCTGTATCATCACCACATGCCACCAGCTACCGGTGGTGCTACGTGGAGCAGGTAGACCAGGCCGCTCCCGTCGCAGGCAGGAGCAACGGGTGGCATAGACAATCTGCTGCAGACTGGCAACTCTTCTTTGACTCTACCAGCATTTTGCTGCTTTACGGCTGTGCGACCCGAACAAAAAGTTTCACAGCGTCCAGCTACCATACCACTTGGTTTGGGTGGGAGGTCTCGAAACGATCTCTTCCCAACGTCTTATCTCGGGTTTCGTGGTAGGAAGGTTGGCAGAAAGCCAAGCAGGAAGCTTGCTGTCTAATTTCAGCACTTTTTTGGGGCAAACGCCTCATCCCAATTTTCGGGGCGGGGGGGCGATTTCAATTGAGAGAGGATGCATACCCTGTTCAGCAGACAGTCGACATGGAACCCCCTTGGAGTGCGGCGCGGACTCACACAGGGCAGAGAACGATCACCAATACCAGGATACTGCCAGTATTGACAAGGTTTGTGCACAGAAGGAAAGCTGTTCACGTAGCTCTCTACGAGGTCCCTGCTTTGCGGCCTCCCGAGGTTCCTGTCGATGGTCGACACTACATGGACGCCACGAGCTCTCACTTCATCGCTGTACTTAAGCCTCAGATAGCAGTACAGCGGCCGCCCGTCCTCTCGATCACACACTGTGCTTCGGTTGTGGGAGTTTCTCCTCGCCTATATGTTCATCAAACCCACCCATGGAAATAGCGCTCCCTCACACGTCCGCGACCTCTTCACTGCTGCTGTCTCGGGCAAGCCGGCTTAACATAGAAGCTATGCTGGCACCAAATGTCTTGCAAGAGCTGGAGTAGTCTGAGGTGTTCTCAGTCAACAACTAGCTCGGTGCTCTCTCTGTTCTGTGGCAAAACACGTAACGATATACATAGACTATATATATAGAAGTATACATCGGAGACGACGCCTCGATTGTTCTCTGCGCTGTACGGTCACACCGACTGCTGATGATTCTACCGTGAACCGGCCACACTCGCGTGTCCGACAACATGTGTCCCCGTCCGTTTCGCTACCGTCGTATGCTACCTAATCGCTCGTCAACAGTTATCATCACAATCTCCCAGAAACCGCCAAGCTCCCCGCGAACAAAAAAGGAGAAGACGTATGGAGGTGAGTTTTCGCGAGCTGGAATCACTCCTTGCTGTAGATTCACTCCTGCAGACGATCAGAAGCACCAAGGCCTACCTTAGGCACCAAGGCATCCTTTCCAGCCGGGATGGTTATCTTCCGCGGGGGGGGGGGGGGCAATGTCGGGCTGACCGTACTCTCCTACTCTTCTCTGGGATTCACCACCGTGCACAAAAAAACACGGCTGTTCGTCCACATCAATGACACTATCTTCTCACTCGCGCAATCATGCACATACCAAGTATCCTCCTTCCACCCTCGCCCCCCTCCCGCAAATCTATGCGCCGTAGACCCCACGCAAAAGGGGCAGAAGGGCGACGGCATTGGGAAGCAGTTCGCCAAACGTCGAACCCCCGGGTTCACCCGCCGCGGAGGTACGAACACTTGCACCAACGATATCGATATATCAGTACCGGGTACGCAAGTAGCTGACGTCCATGTTAGAGGCGAATCTTCCTCTTGGTTTTGCCGGTTCAATGTTGAAGTCATGCCTGCCTCTCCTTACCCTGGCCACCGACCCCCCCTCCGTAGGCACGCCCACACTCGCCCACTCTCCACATATCCATCATTCGTCGTGGATCTCACACCGAGAGAATGAAGTCTGGTTTTTATTTTGTGACTCGAACAAACCCGCACGATTGTGTGGGAGAAAAGGTGTGCCATCGCCTTAATAACTGTGAGGTATTATCTAGGGTTAGGGTATCGAGAGAGTGAGCTAAACGGGCGATTCTATTGATGGGATGCAACGGATTGGTTGAGTAATTCCATCTATCTATTGAAGAATCGCGATTACTCCGTTCGACACATAACAGGTCACGGTGTCGTCCAAGAAGAAACAAAAGTGTGGCGGAGGAGTCTCGTGGGCGAAGAAGCTCAAGAAGGACATCACCATCGACACGGAAGAGGAGCTTCCTCTCAGCGAGCTAGTCACAGACCTGGAGGTGGGTGTCACAACCACGTACGACGGCCGGAACATCAGCAAAGAGGTGGACGAGCTGGTGGTGGAGTACGCGCAGTCGATCGTCCCGAAGCAGAGCAGTCTCTTTTCGGACTCACAGGCAAGAAAGGTGCACTCACCACGGAGCAACGACTCTCGGTCGACAAGACGATGAGGAAGCCGGAACTGGGAAGGCTCCTCAGTGACATCGAGGTGTCGGCGCCGAAGGGGTTCCGCAACGAAGTGGTCGATGTCCGTGCCATGCTCCGGCCGGCGGGCGCGGGCATGGACCCCCACCGAGACAGCATCAACCTGAAGTACGATCGGACAGTATTTACCCTGCTGGATGGCCCCTCTCAGAAGCCCCCGGAGTTCTTCGTGAAGCTCATGAAAGGACCAGACGCCGAGCCTGCGCGCGGCCCTTACGAGCTCGGCGAGATTGTCGTCCCCAAGGTCCACGGGCTGATTGTAGTGAAGGGGCCGAACGCCCGGGGAGAGAAGGTACGAGCGGTCCATGGCGTCAGGCCCGGGAACGTGACATCCCTCACTCTCGTGGCGGACTACATCACAACCCGGAACGATGGGCAAGCTACCTCGGACGAGGACCGCGACAGTGCTCGCAAGTCGGTGGTCGCCCACACCACCAGGGCGGCTCCACCTGGAGCAACCATCGACCCCTACGCGGATAGGCTCGTCTGGCCCGAGAATGCCCCGCGTACGACGGGCTCACGGAAAGCAACTGAAGCCAACAACGCCATGGTGAAGGTCAACGGCAAGATGGTGAAGAAAGCGAGTGTGAAATGTGAGATAGATCAAAGCGCGTGCCGTCCACCGCTGTCACTGCTTCTTGCGTGTGGTTTGATGGAAGGACAGGTGTTATTCATTCGTTGCCTCTCCATATCTTCCGTGTCTCGGTCGGTAATTGCTCTCTGCGGTCGTCAGCTTGCTTTCTTGCTGCTGTTGGTGTGTTGTTGTTGTTGCTACATTGAATGAGTGACGAGCGAGTGAGTGAAATTGTGCTTGTGTGTTGTTGCCATGTGTCCTGCGTCACCCGTTGTCCCAGTGCACCCGGCCTTCTGTAGGTGTCATGAATAGTGTTATATCTCGACCCCCTCCCTCGCGCCTATCAAATCGTCTGTTTCCCTTCTCTTCTTGTATTTTTGTTCGTTCCGGGCAGCCAACTCGTGCTCCCACGACGGCTACGCGTGCACCAGTGCCGAGGTCGGCAAGTGTGTGTGCGGCGAGGACCACTCCCACGTAAAAAATGCTTCTGTGGGTGGTGAGTGACTCGTTTGATTCATGTATGTGTAGGTTGTGGGCTACTGTACCGATACCTCTGTTGTTGTTTTCCTGTCTTGTCACATTACAAGCCGCATGGAGTTTCTCGCGGAGTACAACGCCGCCAAAGCGTGCTATTTGAATTTTGGAATGAAAATTTGACAGTCGATCGAACAGAACTCGATGCCTTAAGAGCGAGCAACTGGTGCATGGTTGGATTGAGCCTATTCCCCCCGCCCGTCGTGTTCGTTGCAGGCGTTTATGTTGTTGTTGTTTTCCCTTACTTTCTATTGAAACCCTAACGACCTACTCTTCCTGTGTCGCGTGTATTCGATGTTCATATTTTCAGCCAACTCCTGCAATGTGGACGGGTGTTCCTGCACCGAGTCGGGCGAGGCATGCAGCTGTGACGGACACGTGCACGTCAAGAACGCGAGTGTCGGAGGTGAGCTTGTTCTTGTATTTCACTCTATCCCCAGAGTCTGTTGTTGTTGTTATTGTTGTTGTTGTTGAAGCGTGCTATTTAACGTTTTTATTGCTTATGTGACAGTAGTCGATCGAACAGAACGCGATGCCTTAAGGGCGAGCAACTGGTGCATGGTTGGATGGAGCCTATCCCCCCCGCTCGTCGTGTTCGTTGCAGGCGTTCCTGTTTGTGTTGTTGTTGCCTTATTGTCGAGTCATTTTCGCCCTCCTGGCAATCAAATTGTGCCACGCTCCGTGCACTCCATCGCATCCCAGCTCGCCCCTTTTCAAGTGCCCCCAACGCGTGCAGCGGAATCGTTGAATGAGATGCTGTGGTTGTAGGTTTGTTTTCGGCAAGCAGTGGGTCCAACCGCCAACAGCGATTGGATGAGATGCAAAGTATTTACTCGTGTGTGTTCCGAAATGTTCTTCACTCTTCTTGATGTTCGCTGCTGCAGCTCTGGTTACGTTCACATTATTGTACCGCTACATCCGTCGCCTGTGGAAGCTCGTATTTCCTCTTGCGACCAAGACGCTTGCACTCGGCCACTTGTCTCCTCTGAATGATTTTTCCAAACGCATTTTCAGGGGCGGTACAATCGGGAGAGCAAGAGAAACCCAACCCCAACCCGCGAGGCCCCGGTGGAGCCGGCGTCAAGGAGTTCGACTATCGCCCTCACCGTCGCTCCATCGGCTTCCACTACCGTGGTTACAAGGAGAATGACAAGCTCGTCATGTCGGACAACACGTTCGAGTTCTTCGAGTACAGCATCGGCAACATGGAGAACGGGGCGTGGATTCTGGGCACCCACCACTTCAGCTCCCAAGGCAAAAGGTTGTCCTCCGACCCATACAGGAAGGACGGCACAAGGGTTCAGACAGAGGCCAAGGTAATGAGAAACGACGGCTACCTGAAGAACAAGGCCAGGGATCACGGGAAGGAGCAGGGGTAGGCGGGACAACGGGCATCTACCACAAATGTTAGATCCGTGCCGTTCGGCTGTTACAACCAGGCCACACGCACGGGGTCTTCCGGGATAGATAGCCCAAAAGCTGTCGTTGTGGTGTTGATAATCCTCCTTCTATGTGCATATATCCTTGTGGTAGTGTGTGGGTGTGTGTTTGAGCAACACAAAACCCCGACCAAGGTAGAGAAGAAGTGTTTCTCCTAGGGTTATTTGTCTCAGCATTCGGATGTGTCTGAATATTTCGTTTCATACACCTTGTATCGGTGGTGGTGGCGTGAAAAATTGTGTGAAATTTGTTTGTGTGAAAATTGATTATTGTTAACCCCCCGATCAAGGTAGAGAAGAAGAAGTGTTTCTGCCGGGGTTTGTCGTTCGGACGTGTCTGAACATTTTGTTTCATACACCTTGTATCGATGGCGGTGGCGTGAAAATTTGGAGAGATTTGTGTGAAATTTTTGTGGAAATAGAAAATTAGTATGAATAGTAGATTTTTTGAACACACACTTGGACATCAAGTTGCGAGATTTCGGGCCGGCCAGTGATGATGTGATGGGAGTGGAATAGACCACCGGTTAGGGAGTGCTCTAGGAATGGAAGGCGCCGCGTTGCCCACCCACACTGCATTTGCGGATTTGGGAGTTGATTCGAGAGATCGGTAACAAAACGCGGGAAAATTAAATACACTTGCATGATTCTCACTCTTTGTTTACTATGTCGACGACAAAGCACTACTGGAAGAGGATGTTAGTAGCATGGAGTCACACCGTCCACTGCCTGAAATGGTCGTCCTTGATATCTCTCACTTTCACAACCGCGCACTTCCGGCTTAAGGCCGGCAAAGTCTGCCCACCACGTGCGACTTGTACCCATTCACCCAAATCAAACTCATGCCCTGTGAACACGTCATGACTTATCACTACGTGAAGCGTCCTCAAATCACTGAATACTCGAAATCCGACTTCATCCGCAAGCAGCTTTCTGGCACACAAATTAGCCGATTTGCTAAATCGACGGTTTACCTCGGCGGACGGTAGATGGGATGTGTCTTTCATTCCGCGCAACCGATTGACACCCGCTATAAAGTGTTGGTATTCGCATAATAATGGTATCCGGAATGAGGATGTTGTCGACCCCTCACAACCACCGTGCGCAACCAAAGCTTCATGAGGAGAGCCGGTATCACTCGGAGTGAATTGGACAGCACTACGAACAAGCTCAGGTAGCGCCCTCCCAGAAACAAATGATAACGCGCACGCCAATTCAAAGTAATTTGCTCGGGGGTATGTGATAATTGCTCCCATGAGATCGACAAGGTCGCTTGCGTTCACTGTGATGCTCTTTTCGCACTTCGCTGCCAAGGCTTCTCGACGTCGTTTCCTTGGAATACTTTTTTCTTCCGGTGTGAGTTCCAGCTGAGAGACGTACGGCGGAAGTATATTTACCTTCCGTACGAGAGCGTCGATATCAACAAGCCCAGTGAAGGACTCCTTGTGGGAATGAATGGTATTGCGCGCTGCCCATTTGCCGAGTAAATCCAACTTGAAAAACGAAATGATACGGCTCTCGGCTATTTTGAGCTGTTTCAAGATGTATTTCTTCCTTGAATCACTTGAGGTTTTCTTGGCCAGCGACGACGCCTTCCTCTGTAGGACTTTGAGTATGCGCTTAAGGTCCTTCCTGATGGCGCCATCGTTTTGGCCGGGACCGTAAACTTGCATCCATTCTCGCCTGACTCGCCGGACATTTTTGTTGAGAGAGCCTGGATGCAGAGTCCTCAAGACCTCAAGAACATGAACCGGGTCTTTATTATCCTCCAACCAACGAGCACACTGCGGAATGAGATCGTTCATGATTGAATTATCTGTATACACACAATACATATTATTTCCTGAGTTTCTTGGTATAAAAGCTACCGGTCGACCACGGTACAATCAACTCGTCTTCCTCTTTTTCGACTTCCCTCTCCCTAGGCTTCCTCTGGCTCTGTTGCACTTTAAGCATTTCACGTCTACATTATCGATCGTGTGCGGCAAAGCGCAGTCAAGACGATCGAGAGTCGGTTGGCGTTCACTATAGACGGCCCAGACCCAGTCGTGGTTGCACAAGTTGCACCTCCCCCCGTAGGAGCGGTGGAGTTCTTGGACGAGAGCTTCTCTGTGCTGTCCCCCCTCATCAGATCCGAGACGCTCGGCCGCAACGTCGGCGTATATATAACTTGAAACCTTCCTAGAAACCCACGATGCCCTCTCTCGGTCTGACATGTCGCTCTTGCTTCGGTGAATATCGTCGATGACCCTGACGTTCGACGGTCCGGTCGCTCGACTTATGGCCGTGTATATCCAGTACACATCGGCGTAAGGGTGTCGGGCCTGGTGTATGATCAGTCTCCCTTCTACCGTACGGCCCTGGACGGCGTGTACCGTGCACGCTCCCGAGGGGTCAAACAAGTTTTCCGCCTCCGCTCGACAGAGTGAAGTCTCCTGAAGGCTAGCAGCACCGTCGAATACGCTCGCGACAACAACGGTATCTCCTGAGGACCAGATGATGTCGTAGTTGTGATTCTTGTGAACCCTGCCCAGGTTCCCAAGGTCCCGATATTGTGCACCAACAACTGTTTTATGCCCCAGCACGTCCCAGCCTCCAGACTCGTTGCACCCCAGCAAGCCTCGAAACGCGTAGAAACGAGCACAGTCTCTAGTGTAAGCGAGATGAAAGTCTGAAGGGCTTGGGTCATCCAGACAATCACCACCAAATCTCTCGATGGCTCGAGTCTGCGCCTCGTGACTGTCGTTTCCTGCGGCCAGAATGTGCAAGAGGCCGTCGTCCATCTCCACCTGTTCGTCGACAGTTTTATCCCGCTTGCGCGCGAAGACATGAAAGCATGTGGGGAAGGATTTTTCGAGGATGACCTTTCTGTTGACGTTGTCCCTGCTCATCGACATGCCGCTGCTCTCGCAAACGGGCTGGAGTTGGTGCGTGTCGTACGTCCCGATCACGTGGGTACCGCTGCTATGGGCGGCAGCCAGGACCATGCTTAGGGTCCGGAGAGGCATATAAGCAGCTTCCTCTATGATGATCACGTCGACCTTGAGTGTACGTATCAACCCCGCCGTCTTCTTCACATGAGAATCATCGCCGAGATAGAACCCGAGCTGGTGGTCAGCGGTCTTTACATTCCAACCGGATGGCAGGTTTGTGAACGACGTTCTCAGACTATTGGTTGGGGTAACGACCAACCCCGTTTTGAAGATATTCTTGGCAGCGTTGAAGGCACAATAACTCTTCCCCGCCCCTCCATGTTCTCCGGTCACCGCACAAACAATCCTTGAACCTTGTCGAGACAACAAGTCGCGGAGTAAAATTTCTAGTTTCGATGGTGACTCGGCCTCGCATATTTTCGGCCACATATTGCGCTTGGTGTTCTTGCCGAGACGACGCCAGGCGTTGTGAGCTTCCTCCATCGAACTGAAGCCGGTGCCGATGCCATCCCACAGAGGGATCACTAAAAGCCGGGGTTTTAACGGGCGAGGAATTTTCCTCATTGCCGGAGGTAACGCATCCAGCGACAGCTTGACCACGATGCCTTCGAACACCCTCCTCTCCCCACACAGCGGGTTCTTCAATGCCGGTTCAAACTTGAGAGTGCCGGGGTTTTTTTCGTTGCCGCTAAACAACTGGTTGAAGCGGAGCCTCATATTTTCTTGCACCGAAGAAGATCCCCTGAAGAACACCGCGTCACACTGGAAGCTAAAGTCGGACGCGCCGCATAGTTCGAGAGCGTCCCTCGCCTCCAACACTCGTAATCGAGTTTCGTCGAGAATGAGCGCACCTAACGCCCAGAAGCCATCTCTGTACCAGGTCCGTTCTGCGTCGAAACAAATGTATGCATCACCGGTGTGAAGTGAGTCGATTCCAGGGTCCCCTTGTCCCGTACGAAGCTCGGCCTTGACGCGATCGACTTCGCACAGGACAGGGACAATTTTTCCACCCACAGCCGAAGCCTCGTCACTGCTCGTAACCATGACGGCATCTATCCTGTCCGCGTATCTCTGCTGCAACATACCGCTGGCCCGTACGAATATCCCTTTTTTGAATCGGCGTGCACAGTCGGCATCCTCGAGGAGGGGATCACCCAGCTCATGCGCGAGCAGGTCTCTTACAAGTTTGGGTATGCGGCACCTGCTGACCGTTCTGGATGGTCGCACGAAGTGGGTGACTCTATGGGGAGGCGCGTTGTCGATGAGGTCGAGGTAACGCTTGTAGTTTCGACCGAAGACCGGCGTCACATCCGCATTAAGGAATACGTCTGGCTCACCGAGCGCGTCCAGCTTGATGATGTATAGCGTCCAATCCTCGATGTTGTGGCCATCGAACTCCTCCACCTCATCCATGTGGCCGAAAACGGGCACCGTCTCCATGTTCATTAGGGCGGCCGTGTGGGCCCCGTTTATGTCACATTGCCAGTCTTCCCTTCCGTAGAACTCCCGGACGCGTCCTCTGCCCCGACGATCGGCCCCCGCCAGCACACCTCAAGGAGGGCGAGCAGAGACTGGCTGTACTGGCTCGATACTCGAAAATCCAATACCCCGCGGTGGAACTTCAGACCCAGGGCATTATGCAGCTCGATCAGTCGTGTTGCCTGGTCGGGCTCGAAGTCATCGGGATCGAGCCCACCCATGCTCGCGCTGCACCAGGTTCGGATGATTACGCCGTGCGCTGGTAAGGACAGTGAATCCCAGCGACTGTACTTCGTGAGTTTACCCTTGCAAGAGACCCCAGCGAGGTGTAGGTGGAGCATGAGTTCGTCGAGGGCCGTTCCTGGAGGCGCGTACCACGTCTGTCGGTTGTGGTCCCCCCCTGTTTGGTTGATGGCCATGATATCACCCACAATGTCAGCGACACACGAGAAGGTCTTGGTGCCAAACCCAGTCGTGCCTGGTTCCTGTTCTTCCACGGTCATCTCAGAAGTTCGACGGAATTTACGG